TAAAATATCAAAAACATCAAGACGGAATTACCCCAAGACAACTCACGTCAGTCTGAGGCAGATGTTTCCGTTTCAGAGATGGCAATTGCAGGTGTCACGTTCATTTCAAAAACTGATTCTCCAGGATGCAGCCAGCAGATTTTTCAAAAGCACAGCCTGGCGCATAACTACATCTGTGGAACTCCGAAGTTCTGTCCGTGTGCTCTGAAAATAATTTGTTTTCAAGGATGCCCCAAGATATTTGCACCAATCAGAAAAGCTGAATCCCGCTGAAACCATTTTGATGCAATCGTTTCAGTCACGGAACTACGCAAACCGCCGGAGTTTTTACGTGTGCGTTGCTCAGTCTCACAATCATCAGAAAGTGAAGCTAGTGACATCAATTTGCACAAAACTGGAGATCGAATATCGATGGAAGGCATCCGAAATGAAAATCTAAATGTTTTTCATGTGCTTATATAAATATTTAAATAAAATAGACAATCACCCTCATTTCTAGGATCAATAATTTATTTAATTTTTTCCTTTACATTTTGCAATTTGTTACAGAAGAAACACTTGCTAACGAATGTGAAATGTTTTTAACCGTTTTCCGAGGTAATGGAAAAAGTTAAGCATATTCCCTAGTATGCACATTTATGACTACGCTGCCAATATTAATAGTTTTAAGCAAGTGTACTCCCTATTTAACCCTTGTATAAATTAATTTTAATACTCTCCTCCTACAGGAAGACTAAATTGTAGCATCTAATTTTCTTTACCCTGAAGTCTCAATCTTTGCTCTTGCCACTTATCTATCTGCGAACAAGTCAAGCAGACTAGTTGCTGAAGCCAAAGCCACAGAAGTGGAATCAGTGCCACGGCTCCTTCTCCTCCTGGCAACCTACTCGGTGTCCAACTGTCCCAAACGGAAACAAAAGACTCCCAGTTTTCTGAAAACCAGATTCTCTGCATGACAGTGCATTGCATTGCCACTAAACGGGCCACAGTGGATGTTCTTATAGGAAACAAATCAGGTAACTAACAAGATACAAAGAATTATAAATGAACTTGGTAAAAATGTTTCTAACATTTCCCCAGTGGTTTATTAACTAGAATCCTACTTTCCTTCCACAAAAAATATATATTTTTTTATAAATACATTTTAATACAGACAATTCTGATTCTATGCAAAAAAAAAAGTCAATGTCACATTCAAACAGGTTTTCTCAGTGTAGCAGTAAGATACGAGCACACATCACAGTAGGCATTAACACAGTGGTTCTAGGGAGGCAGTTAACTACAGCTTGTGAACAGAGACACAAACACACAACCTCACCCCTTAGTTGGGCTGCCCTCTGATTTAGAAAACAACTCAGCTGCAACTTGAGGCCTAGAGCATCCCACTCTTCAAATCTATTTCCATGTTTAGAAAATGATATGAACTGCCAGTGAGACTTAATTTCTGAGTAACAGAGAATCATTTGTGTAAACTTAGGTCGTGCTTATGCTGGGGGTGTAGAAGAGAACTGCTAACAGAAGCGACCAGCTCTCTCAAACTCAAGAGAAAAAGCATTTACCCTCATCTTGGCCTTAAAGCTCTTGGTTCCAGTTAGCTGAAATTCACTCCTCCTCCTGTCTTTGTCCCGCTCCCTCATTTTTTCCCAAATGTAACTTTTACCACTAAAGTCAACACAAGTAAAGGTGTCCGGCTTTTGTGCAGTACACACAGTTCTCGTTGCTCTTCCCCACCCTATAAGGGATAGCAACAATCTCTATAGTTTCATTCCTAACCAGATCTAATTAAAATTCATCTGTCAAGCATATTTTTTCAGGTTATGAATAACTAACAGAACATTTTTATAACACTTAAATCCAAGAGTCGGATATTAGAATCTTCTTACCTTACATAGTCCCCAAACAATCTTTGCCTGAATAAGAGCTCCCTTCAGTTTTTGTCATGAAGACTGAAATTTAGGGTTTGGAGGTCAACACACAGCACTGTTTCTCAATATACTTTTAACGGTCTGCATGCTCAAAATGAAGGAATTAGAAACTCGGTAGCCTGCCGTGTTTCACACACGGCCACTGCTTTGACGCTCTACCCAAAGTTTTTGAAATGAAACTCAAATGGAGGACAGAGGTGGCAAATACAGCTCTCTTACTGACCTGCTCAAAAATAAGACAGAGAGAAGATTATGAGTAAGAACTAAACCCCAGCACATTGCTTTCAAACCTGAAGAGACTTTCTACATTGAAAAAAAAAAAAAAAAATCTTCTGGGTCAGGAAGAGTGGATTATTCAGTTATTTCATAAATGCCACTACATAAAGGATACATTCACAGAAACAATTCTGGCTTTTGCCCCTGATCTGAGAACAAAGTTTCTAGATTTTAAATCATACTTACACTCGATGTGTTAATTTAAAAACTAAACCGTTCTCTTTCTGCCGCTGAAGTCTGTGAATTGTTAGACCATGAAGCATGGCAGCTAACCACAAATGTATTTACTGTTGCGTTCTTTAAAAAAACCTGGAAGTTTAAAGGAATCCAAGACTGAATAAGCAAAAGAATGCACGTCTCAGAACAATTATGTCACTATTAGCACTCACAGAGACTTAGTTTCTTTTTCCAAGCATAATTCACCCTGCAAAGTACACATATAATCCTGTCTCCTGACAGGAAACAGCTAGTCATTATTAGCAGATAATTTTGGTTAGATTTTCAATATTTTCTTTCACTTTCAGAAGGTTAGATCCCAAAGTTCCAGACTAACTCTTTAACACAGAGCTGTAGTGCTACTTAAAATATTTTTTTTTTAATTATTACATTTTAAACCAAAGAAAAGATACAAGAATTATTTTTCCAGAGCAAATATTTGGTGATTTTGTAGGTGAATTGCCAAAGCAAACTCTATAACGATTAATATTAAAATACAAAATATTAACTGGTCAAAGAGACTAACAAATTATTCTGTGAACAACGCTATTAAAATCTGATTTTCAACTGGTTTATAATAAGAACCAGCTGCCAATTTAAGGAGAAAAAAAAAAAATGCGGGTTTCATGTTACAACTGACCTGAGAGCTCTTGGCTCGCTTTCAGACAAAAAGTGTAAGTTCTTCAGTGCTGTACAAAGTGTGGTCTTTAACATTAAATTCTGCACATAGTTTTAATGCAAAACAAGGACAGAAGGTTGGAACTGGAACTGCAACTGTACTGCAAAAGTTTTTGAAGACTCCAGTGCTGTTTATTTGCATCGATGTAATGTCTCGTGTCAACACAACACATTAGACTACTGCATAAAGAGGTAGAAAAGGAATGGAACCTCCCCCCTGGACCGCAATTCCCACGCGTTTGTAAATGCTGTGGATGTAGATGACCTTAAAGAGATGCAAACAACCTGTTTCCAAGTGAAACAGAGAGGTAACACTGACAACTGTCGCAGTGGAATACAGAAAAAAAGCACCTTCGTTACACTTCCCACAGACACTTTTGCTCTTTGCCTTGGTTTAAGAAGCAGAACTTGCTATTTGTAGCAAACTGAAAAGTTAAAATAGGTTGAAATTTATTTTATTGAAAGGTCCAATACTTGTTTCTGTTTTAAATTATTCCTAATAATAGAAGACAACAAATTCACTAAATAAAACACCTCCTATATGAGTCACACTGTATTTTCTGTTAGCCTGAAATTATTACCCATAGAATCTCAAATATCAGAACAGCGAGCAGAATTCAGGAGATCAGTGGCAGACAGTTCACCCTCTGAGATGTAACCTCAAACCTACCGTGTCAGAAAGTCCATTCAACAACGTTCTGCCCTGTCGGGAACTTTCCCTAGGTTCTTTGTGACAGGGGTATGTCTGCCACTCAAGTTTTCATTGATTGCATTAAAATTTTTTTATGGAATTACTTCTGGTGTTGAAGTTCAAAATCTTAGAAGGAGGTAGCATAAAAAAAGGAGCAGAACGTGACTATTTCCGATGAGTAGACAATGATACACTAGACAGAAAGACTCACTATCATAACCCAAAAGTCTGCACCAAAGAGCTCTCACCAAAACATAACAAGATTTTCGAAACTTTGAAACATCCATCTGTTTGAAATGTATGACTGGCAATTCTGGGCAAGCACCATTGCTAGAAATCTTTTTAAAAAATCTTATGCACAGAAGTGATTATTATGAACAGCAGGTGAGAGTTTAAACATACCCCCAAAAAACCCTGGATAGGGTGCTAGTTATAAACACACACACACACGCACACTCTTCTATCTTCAAATCAGTATAATTTCTCCTTCAAGAGTTGGAACAAAATTCATAAATACTTGAACCTGCAAAATGTCACTGAGTATA